CTAAAACTGTCGGCTGTCAGATAAACATCAAATGGGTATTTTCATGTCTATGGCGTAATTTTTTCTGAATTCCAAGAAAATTGTTTTTTTGAGAGAGGTTTATTGTTGACAGTATATCCAGTATATGCGCTTCAGGATGAACGCTTATCCTTAAATCTTTAGTTATCAAGAAGGTGGCGTTGAGCTTAGACAAATTTGAGCTCGTCGTGAAGCAAGCTAGAGATTTACTGGATTGTCGAATCAACGTTCTTCTGACCGAGATGTTAACAGTACTGCCTCTGGATTTGAGAGATTGCAAAGCCCTTTCAATTGAAGCCTTTTTACAGAATCTCACCTCCGTTCTGCCTTCTACCACCGTTGAGTTAAATATGTACGTGGTCCTTTGACTAATCGTCCATAGCGCCCTGAGTCATTCCTGAGGACACAATGTGACAAAACAGTCTGGAATTGCTTCTAAAACTCCGTATAGCTAAAAATTTGGATAAACCAAGCACTTTCAATATTGTTCTTCTTCATACTTAGGAAGAGTAAGCTCGTGGAGAGCGCGGTGAACGATCTTGTGGAGACATTGATGAACAATCTCGACAAAGAGTATGCGAAGGTTCTTTCAAAAGAGAATCACTTTAGCTGCTCAAATCCTACAAAGAAGGGTAATAGATGCAACCATTGCCTCAACTGCCTCTTTTTCGATCTGCTTAGTCAATTCAGCCAACGAAATATTGAGGCAGTTATTACATGTAGGTGCTACATTTTGAGCCAAATTTTTCATCCACTTCATGTTTATCGTCTACAACTAAAATTAAAAACAAGATCTACCAAGAAAGAGGGTGTTTATATTTTTCCATTACTGTTAAATAATGCATTTTGTTAAATCCCATTATCCATTAGCTTCATCTGCCATTGCTTACCAAGTTGTGCCTACTTGTTTCCTATGAGTAACATCGTGGTACTTCAGATTTGTTAGGAATCTTGGAGGAATTGAGATCACGTCTACAGGCGGATGTATCAAAGCCAGGTTTCATTTCCTCCGAATCGAAGGCGTCAGTGGAAAACGAGGCTTTCTTCGTGTTGGAGATGAGTCTAGAAATTCCCAACATCGTTTGTCGACCATCACTAACTGATTTGCAGGCGGGTCTGAGCAGAGCCATCAATATGATTCTTCGTGTTTCTGACGGTATTCAGCCATGGGATCATGTCAAACATTGCCAGATGTTATTTAAGGTAAAAGTAACTTCATTATTCCTCCTTTAGCTTAAATGCCAAGCCCGAAGATACCTCAAAATCTATGCAATAGACTATCTTAAGCCTGATTACAGAAATTTCCTTCTTTATTATGTAAGAAATTTTTTTTTCTGCTAATCACTTATTTCGCAATTAAGAAATGAAAATTAAGCAGAAAAAACCTGGTTAAAGCTAAATTATCCCCTCCTCCTAGAGGCAATACGTTTTATAGCGTAAAATTCAGAAGCTTATCCCATTAAAATCATTTAGAGTTGTAGGTTGCCACGGTGATCACTTCAACTAATTAAATATTTTAAAAGGCTTTCTAAAGTATATCAATTTTTAAACGAGTCTGCGTATAACTTTTGAACGTGACATTTCCTTTTCACTACCTTCCTTGAGAAATCTCAAAGTGTTCGTCTGAACGATCTGCTGAGCAGCAGTCAGGACTCCTCAACAATTTCCTTCCAGTCCATTCCTTCGAGTCTCCTTCGGCCTCTACGAAAGCTGGTGCAAGAAAATAAGAATATCATCAAGGTAGTGGCTGACTTGAACTCGTGCGTTACCTACTACTCCGGTGATATAGCCAGGCTTGTGAACGAACTCTCCTCTGATTTCTCCTATCTCTGGAAGGCAGCTGTAAGTTGCACTTATAGCAGAAGTTAGATCGCCTAGAAAAAGAGTATTAATAAGATTTACGAAATTTCAGGATCCACTCAGTTTTGCAAAGGAGTTCATTGATAAGAAACCATCAATCTCGGAAGTAGGTGATGAGTTACGTCGATTCAAGGTAAGATATCTCACATAATTGTCAGTTCATGCAAAACATTCAAAAATTAAAGCATTGGTGCAATTGCTTAAAGGCTTTTGAAGAGGCATCTTTGAAACTGCCTGCAAGTTATCGATTGGGTTCACTCCTGCTCAGAACAGAGGCAATGAAAGACAGTCTCATCGCGGAATGCCGTTCCTGGCGATTAGCTATTGGTAGTGCTTTGAATACCAAATGTGGGGTTAAAATGACATCAGCTTTGGATAAGATGGAAGATCTACTGAAACGTCTCCAGCGTCCAGTGAAGGATTTGGACGATATAAGGGCGAAGATGGCAGCTCTGGATGAATTCCGCCAATCAGAAATTGACCTTGAATTGTTCCTAATCGAACCCATGGCGGAGGCCTATTCCCTTCTGGCTAGCTTTGATGTCCACTTCACTGATGGTAACGCAGAACGGGTTGAGAGTCTAGCGTATACTCTGCAGAAACTGAAGACTCAAGCTTCCGCATCGAGTAAACATTTACTGTTTATTCAACCAGTCTTCAAGGCCGAGCTGGAAGCTTGTGTGGAACAGTTCCAGAAGGAGAATGAACAGTTCACATTTGACTACCGGACGAGGTAAATAGTTCGACGAAATTTGATTCTACTGTTTTAGAGGTCCCATGGAACAGAACATTGACCCACATGAAGCCTCGGATCGTTTAGCCCTCTTCAACGCGCGATTTGATGACCTCTGGGCAAAATATGAGACATATTCCGAGGGCGAGCGACTATTTGGCCTGCCGGTTCGTGAGTACCCGGACTTGCACACCATCCAGAAGGAGTTGGGTCTGCTTCAAAAGTTGTACCAACTCTACAACTCCGTGCTAGACACTATTGGTGGATATTACAATACGCCATGGACGAATATCGACATTGAGATGATTAATCAGCAGTTGATAGACTTCCAGACAAGGTTAGAGACGGGTTATGCTAAATGATCTAAGCGAAGTTCTTATAGTGGATTGTAAGTGAGGTTCCTTGGGGGTATCTTTAGATGTAGACGGTTACCGAAGGGTTTGAAAGAATGGCCAGCATACGAGGCATTACAGAAGAAGATTGATGACTTTAATGAGACCTGCCCACTGTTGGAAATGATGGCAAATAAGTCGATGCTGCCTCGACACTGGAAACGAATAGAGACGGTAACAAACTGTCAACTCGACGTGTATGCGGAGGGCTTCCTGTTGAAAAATCTAATGGAACTTCCATTACTGGAGCACAAGGAAGATATTGAAGTGAGTCTTTCAAATTTCCGGGAGTGGTTTTTAATTCTGGAGATTCTCCCTCAGTTGACGCTAATCAGGTGCATCAAATCGCCTAGTGCAAAAAATGGTTAAATTTAAGGCAATGGTTTAGGCGTGGGGTTTTCTCAGCCTGAAGATAATTAGGCTTTTTTTAATCCTTGAGTAACAGTTGAAGTGGTCACAGAAACGACTAGCAACTGCTGTCAAACTAAAGCCATAAAACACCTGAGTGGCTGTTAAAAATGGCGAGAGAAGAGATGAGATGCAGCACAGTATTGATGAATCTTTTCAGGATATATGCACCTCATCGGTGAAAGAACGCGATATCGAAGCCAAATTGAAGTCCATAATTAATGACTGGACGGCCCAGGAATTCCAGTTCTCTGTGTTTAAAAATCGAGGAGAATTGCTTTTCAAGGGCGACGTGGCGATAGAAGCGATAGCTCTGCTGGAGGACTCCCTCATGGCGTTGAGTTCGCTGCTCTCCAACCGCTACAACGCTCCCTTCAAACCGCGTATTCAAGAGTGGGTGCACAAACTCACCACAACCAACGAGGTCATTGAGAATCTCTTCAAGGTCCAGAATCTGTGGGTCTACCTCGAAGCGGTCTTTGTGGGTGGCGATATCGCAAAACAACTGCCGCAGGTGAGCAGCATCCAGCACCCTAATGTAGTGGATCAGCTAATCAATATCGATTTTCCTCCTCCTAATGAAATATCGATTTTTGTGGCTGATGATTACCTTACGGGTGTTCAAAGAGTTAAGAGCACCTTCCACTGCCATGTTGTGATTGAATGAGCCGTTTTTGCATAAACTGACCTATTTTGTTAAAAAAATAAAATGACCACATGAGGCATTTATAGGGTAAAGATAGATCACCGTGATACGCGTTTTTAGAAGATTTTAATTGCATTATTATCTTTCTTTGTCTATATGGACAGTGACTAAAAATTTGGAAGTGGGATTTAAAATTTTTTCAGGCCTTTAACTGATTCGTGCATATAATCGCAAGTTAAAATGAATTAAAATTTCCTTCCTATTTCGTACTGCTTTTTAAAATATTTAGTACATGGAAGACCGGGTAATGACGAATAATTTTTTGGCAATTCTTGAAAAAAACGGCTTTCTAGACAAAAAAATACAACACTGAATGCAAATTCCCCCCTGCTAAAACCTACTACCAAATTATAGGAAGAGGACTGCCGATTTCTCATCTTTTCCTGAAAAAAATTTAAGTAACGAAATTGACCTAAAAAAAGGTCAAGACAATGACTTATGAAACACAAAAGTTGTATTTCAAATAATAGATCTTCGAACTCACCCTCTTCTAACTTTTTACTTAATCAGGGTAATTGGTTGATGCCTATTTGTCTTGAGCGATTTTTTCTTCTTGATTCGATTACCTTTTCAAAAATATCTGGTGATCAGGTTTGCTTGGTTGTCAATATAGCTAGCCACAATTATTATTTAGTTGCAAAATGGACCATAGATGGACTGTATCAGTTTATCTCTTCGCAATTCGCGATTTATCTGTTCATTTTGCTACCCTACCATGTTCCTCACACTTTTGAATCCTCACTTCATTAGGTGTTGTTTGAATTTGGTGAATAAGATTGCGGATTGTTGTTGTCGTCCTAATCAAGTTTAACTCCGTTTCAAAGCAGTGTCTACAGAAGCCTCTAGCCAAACTTGCCTTCCAGTATGTGGAGAATATACAATGTGCGGTAGCAAAATTTAGTGTGCATAAGTGGCTCACTCTCATCGTAGTCTACTGACAATGCATCACTTAAGGATGAATGCATCACGTCCGGGAAGATACCCCATTCGCCATTGTAATGAAGAATGAAGTGTGGCTGCTAAAAATCCAATTGTCACGAAGAACTTTCAATCATGTTTAACGAGAGTTATGAAAGAATTGGCTTACACCTCCACTAATTGGGAGATTCGTGACTCCATCCAAACAAAAGCATGCCACCTACATGTCATGCATTAACAGATGACAGCCAGTAGCCTGTCGCTCGCTTCTCCAATTCACCCTTGAAAGCGCACTGTATAGGAGGAACTGTTTGCTCAATGACTGATGTACTTGTAACTTGTTGTTGTGATGAAGGATGCCTTTTCTATCCCGGTGATCGCTAAGCCCGGGAGTATGCTATTGGTTTACCCCAAACGAACCATGACAACAGGAATGAGTGCCTTAGGTGTGTTTCCGTCCTTCCGTCCGTCTGTATGTGTGTGTGGTCCACAGGTGCAATTGGACTTTGTATTTGGCCTTCTGACTGACCTTTTGGTTGAAAGCCAAACAGGGGTGAGGGCTGATATCTGTCTACCCGATCTAACGGGACGCAGGAGCAGGAGTAGAGTCAACAAGTCAGTAAGAAGAAAGTCCTATTCGTGTTCTTATGTGAAACGCAGTGTAGTGTCCCCCATCTCCCAATGCCTGTCCGCAAGGAAATTTGTACTCGAAGAGACTTCTTCAGACGCGCCCTCTGCATATCCCAGATGATGGTCCTCCAGGCCATTGTCATCACCTTCGCCTGCCACTAAGTAATCATGTGGAAATCCCACAAATAGACGATGGAATTTAGGAAGAAGTGGAGATGGCTAGGGCTAGGCCGTTCATTTCTCTAGAAAAAGGCTTTTCAAAGGATGAGTTAACAAACAAATGGCAATTACTTCAACAAATAAAACATTAAACAAAGCAATCTGCTGTTTAATTTTTTTCCAGGAGGATGACACTGACTTATTCGGTTTCTCTAACAATTATGAAATACATTATTATCCACCTTTATTTATACAAGAGATGACTGGGAAATTACTCACCAATTATTCGCATTTTCTGTGGGGCTTCATTTAATTTTTCGGCACAAAATATTGACCTCTGTTTTTTACAAGTCCACCAACTCACCACCTCTTCAACAGTGGTGATCACTTTAAATCCACTGTCAGAAAATTGCTGGATGATAAGTCCATCTAAGTGAATTTGAAACTATTTGTGGTGTTATCTATAAGACATTCGAACCTAAGAAAGTATTCGTTTTGCTAATTTTGAGGGTGTGTTTACGGATGCCAACACTGAAAACGGTATTTCCTATGTGGCCAGATGTTTGGGATGGTAGATATGAGGATTGCATCAATGGACCGAAATCAGAGAAGTTAAATAATTGAATCCAAGTAATTACGAATGCTCCCTTCAAATAATTCAGTGTCAAAAGTGACATTTCGGTTAGATTTCTTGCAGCTAAAAGATGTCTTGAGGAGGTGTTAACTTGCCTCCTTATTAAAGAGGCTGTTCATTCAAAAAAATAGCATTTTGGATAACTGATGCGGTATCAATTCATCAGGAGGCGAAGCGCTTTGCCACCATTGACAAATCCTGGCAACGCGTGGTTCAACGTGCCCACGAGACCTCCAACATGGTGGCCTGTTGCTCTGTGGATGACACGCTGACCCAGGTGCTGCCCTACCTGTTGGAACAACTGGAGGTGTGCCAAAAGTCCCTGACCGGCTACTTGGAGTCCAAACGTCTCGTCTTCCCTCGCTTCTTCTTCGTCTCCGACCCAGCACTGTTGGAAATCCTAGGCCAAGCCTCTGATTCCCACACCATTCAGGCTCACCTCCTCTCTGTCTTCGATAGCATTAAATCAGTCACTTTCGATGAGACCGTCTATGATCGGATTCTCGCTGTTAATTCAACCAATGAAACCATTGAACTTGAAGCTCCAGTTATGGCTCAGGTTGGTTAATGAAATGGAGGGATCCACGACATCCTTTAAACCTCTCCTTGTTATTGCTCAGTGCTACCGGCATACAAACAAGACAGTTGGATTGGTAAATAGGAATAGGTCGTGCTTCTTACAGTTCCACAGACAGTAGGACTCAAAAAAGTGAGACAAGCAAATATTTTTATGGATTTCACTTTCTCCCTTTTAATCTAAGCACGATTGTAGAGGTCATAGTGGTGTGTGATGTATTTTGACACAGTACAAATGGCCTTTGCATTGTTTCAATTTAAGTCGTTGATTTTTAGGGTCACGTTGAGGTGTGGTTGGGTGAGCTATTAAAGATGGCCCAAGAGTCACTGCGTCAGGTCATCCACAGCGCCTATTGTGTGCTCAATGATGAGGAGAACTTCGATTTGCTGAAATTCGAAGACTCATTCATAGCACAGGTGGGTCTCCTCGGCCTTCAGTTGTTATGGACGCGTGATGCTGAAGACGCGCTCAGCAACGCACGCACCAACCCGGCGGCAATGCGAGAGACCAACTTGCGTTTCCTCAAGATCCTCAATCAGTTGATCGAGGTCACGACCAAGGAGCTAACTCCACTGGAGAGAACTAAGTATGAGACTCTCATTACAATCCACGTTCATCAGAAGGACATTTTTGATGATTTGGTAAGTTAAAAGATGTGCCATCAAAATTTCCATAGTTTTAGACTTAACTTTTTGACTTTTATAACGCCCCAGCCTAACATAATAATATAATCTGCGCTACTACTATTCTGACTATTGTTGATTCCTTTATCATATAAATGGACTTATGGGTACAGGGAAGAAAGAAAATTTATAATCAATAAGGTTACTCAAAAAAATCCCTCCTTAAGGTGAAAATGCGGGTCAAATCGCCGACGGACTTGGAGTGGCTGAAGCAGTCACGCTCGTACTACAATGAAGAGAGAGAGCAGTACATAGTGAGCATCACCGATGTTGACTTCATCTACCAGAATGAATTCCTTGGCTGCACCGACCGATTGGTCATCACGCCTCTTACGGATAGGTGAGTCCAACAGCTTCGATTTCCCACTTCGGAGTCCTCTAAAATCCACCTTTTGAGTCTATCTTGCATTAAAAAGTCATCTCAAGAAATAGCCATTCCAATGTATATTAATAAAGATAGGAAAAATTGGATGGTCTTCTTTGTTTTCGTTCCACTTTTTATATGCTCTGATGGTCTTTTTATCTTTATAAACACAGACCTAACTAGCAGGCAGAGATGGACCAAGGGATTCAATTGATTACTGCTTAGTAATCAGGAGTTTTCCACCTCCTCACAGATGCTACATCACCCTGGCTCAAGCCCTGGGCATGTCGCTGGGTGGGGCCCCGGCAGGTCCTGCAGGCACGGGCAAGACAGAGACAGTGAAGGATATGGGACGATGCCTGGGGAAGTACGTGGTGGTCTTCAATTGCTCCGATCAAATGGACTATCGCGGTTTAGGCCGCATCTTCAAGGGTCTCGCGCAGTCGGGTGCTTGGGGTTGCTTCGATGAGTTCAATCGCATCGAACTACCTGTCCTCTCGGTGGCTGCACAGCAGATCGCCATTGTGTTGGCCTGCAAAAAGGAGCGCAAACATCAATTCGTCTTCAGTGACGGTGATGTGGTCGATATGAATCCCGAGTTTGGCATCTTTCTCACTATGGTAGTGTTTTTCAGTTACTCTTGGTTGGAAGCTTACACGAAATTCCCAACAGATTTCGTTTTTACTCGCCTTTGGATTTGATAAAGTTAGGTCCTCGAAATCAACAGACATTCCCTCTACTAAGGTAGCTCCAGTGGTTCAATTGATTCCACGGATCTTGCACCTATTTCTTCTGTGACCCTTAATACCAATGTGGGAGGAAATAAAACCACTTCCTCTTCTTTAGAATCCCGGTTATGCAGGACGTCAGGAGCTGCCAGAAAATTTAAAAATCAACTTTCGTACTGTCTCAATGATGGTGCCAGACAGACAAATAATCATTCGTGTCAAGTTGGCAGCCTGCGGTTTCTTAAAGAACATCGAATTAGCCGCCAAATTCTACACGCTGTACAAACTCTGTGAAGAACAGCTTTCAAAACAAGTGAGTTTAAGCAGGACATAAAAGATCATCAACGTTTACTTGCACCTAATGGGGTTTGCAAGACTGGGTACTTTGTTGTTTTGCTGGACAGAAAGTGAGTCTACTTTAGACGTCGGCGGATTATCAGTCGACCAATATGTATACGAGGCTTTCAAGATCACTGCGGATTTAGGCTATTGTGGTGTTGGGGACAAGGCCAAATTCCTTATTACTCCTGGTCTCCGCAAGCTGTTTTTCTTTGCAGGTACACTACGACTTTGGACTGCGAAATATTCTCTCGGTGCTGCGCACCCTGGGCGCCTTTAAGCGGGCCAATACGGACCAGTCGGAGCCGATCTGCGTGATGCGCGTGCTACGCGACATGAATGTGAGCAAGTTGGTGGACGAGGACGAGCCCCTTTTCATGTCTCTCATCGATGACCTTTTCCCTGGCATGCACCTTGAAAAGAAGGGCTATCCCAGCATGGAGGCTGCAATCAAAAAAGAGGTATGAAATTTCCTAATCACGGTCCGTGTTTATGTTTGTTCCGCTCTTTGATATTTAGTTCTGATTTCGGTGTTCTAAAACCGGACTTGGCACTTTAAAACATGAAAATGCCTCAGACACCGAAACATTGTCAAATATCGGTGTCATATATACGTGGCGATCCGGTCTTCTTATTTGAGTCTCCACGTGACACGTTCGTGTTTTATTTGGTTCAAAGGAATGGAATTAGGCTGAGAATAAAATGCAGTGAAGATAGTTGAATGTTACACAGGAAAGTAAAAAAGAAGTTTGACTTTTGGTGTTTGGTTGGCCTCTGAGCCATGCGGTCACTTACAGTGGATCTTTACATGACTCCGGCCAATAAAGAGGGGGTGGTCGAGAGCCGGACAATTTAGAAGGCTTTCCCAGCATTTCCATACGTAAATAAGCAGTTAAGGTTTTAAAATGTTATGATTTGAAAAAAAAATTCGCTTTTTCTGGCTCTTCCTGCAGGTAGAAGATCAGCAACTCATATTCCATCCACCCTGGGTGCTCAAACTTATCCAAATGTACGAGACCCAACGCGTTCGCCATGGATTTATGGCTCTAGGTCCCTCGGGATCTGGGAAAACCTGTTGCATCACCACTCTCCTTGCTGCCATGACAGCGGAGACCGGAGTTCCCTATCGGGAGATGCGTATGAATCCAAAGGCTATCACAGCTCCCCAGATGTTTGGTCGTCTCGATGTGGCTACTAACGACTGGACGGATGGAATCTTTTCCACTTTATGGCGTAGAACCACGAGGTTGAAGAAGGCGGAACATTGTTGGATTGTGCTAGACGGTCCAGTGGATGCAATTTGGATTGAGAATTTGAATTCTGTTTTGGATGATAATAAGACTCTAACACTGGCCAATGGTGATCGCATTCCCATGGCACCGAATGCAAAGATTGTCTTTGAGGTGCACAATATTGACAATGCTTCACCCGCTACGGTGTCGAGGAATGGGATGATTTATATGTCCAGCTCAATTCTAAACTGGAAACCGATTATTCAAGGTGAGAGCATGAATAATTACTGGTGTAAACTGGGTTCCTATGTCCACGAGGGTCTTAATCCGACCGGATAAGTGAGGCAAGATCTTCGAGTGGGGTGTCTTTACTGCCCGATGTATGCGATCCCGGCGGCTGGTCAGGGGAGTGCCAGAAACTGAATCTGAGTCCGTGTCCTAGTCACGTGTACTTGTAGTACTGGGTTGAGCTTGGCCTTAAAGTGGGTACTTGGGTGCTTAAAGCGTGCCTAACCTTAGTCTCAGCCAATCCAAAGGGAATCAACAAGCAACAGCTTAGGTCGTTTGAGAAAACAACCACGAAAAATGGAGGTTTCTGGAAAAGAGAACAGGAACGTTTTTCTGGGATCGCAGACATCACCACTACTCACGGAGGGAGACAGCTAAATATGTGCTCAATTAATGGCTGTTCGAAGAATGAATTGCTTGTCAGTTAATCAGCGTCATCCTTAAGTGATTTAAAAGTTAACCTAAATTATCTTTTGTCAGATTTATCGTATTCTTCGTGAGTTTCTCATTGTTTTTTATGAAACAAATCGCCTATTCATTATTCCAATCACCCCCTTTTTAAATTCGTTTCTGTTAATCCTTGTCAAAGTAGATTTTGTGCATTGTGGATTGGAATGGAATTGCCACAAAAATTCCTAAAGACCAGTTAGCTGAATGACTTGCTGCACCAACATACTCATTCAATTGTTTCGTTTTTTGTGAATCTAAAAATTTGAAACGGACAGAAAGGTGCCCACCATTAAATCATAAACTTTAACTTTAGTTGGATTCGGGTCAAGGTTGATTACCTGCTATTTGATTTTTCTATTTTTCTTTTAATCCCGCATCATATACCCATCCGACTTCTAGCATGGCTACTGAGAAAGTCACCGAAGACCAGAGAGGTAGTGATGAGCATTCTAGAAAAATTCTTTGAAGACGCCTATCGCTACGTAATCGAAAATCTGAAGGCAAAAATGGAGGTAAATCCCCCTTCAAAACGTTTCTAAGAGTGGTTTCCCATCACTCCATATCACTTTTTTCCCCTCCAGCTGCTTGAATGCAACTATATCAAGCAGATAATCGATCTTCTGGAAGGTCAGCTGCAGGATCGTGACGAGAAGGAACTACCCGATGAATGTCTCAGAAAGCTGGTCATTTTCGCCTCTATGTGGTCTCTCGGTGCTCCTTTAGAGTTGGAAGAACGCGGCAAGTTGGAGCAGCTTCTTCGAACGAATCATGCTGATCTCCCACTCCCCGAAGTCACCAAAGGCGACACTGCCCAGACCATGTTCGAGTTTCTGGTTGATAACGATGGCAACTGGCAGCATTGGAGCAGCAGAGTTGAAGACTACGTCTATCCTCATGATTCCACCCCCGATTATACGAAGATTCTTGTCCCCAATGTGGATAATACGCGGACAGAATTCCTTATTCATACTATAGCTAAGCAAGCAAAACCAGTTCTTCTCATCGGTGTGCAGGTAGTGCCTTTTTTATTTTGGAATTCGAATTTTTGATTAGTCGGTTTAATTAATTCACTTCGCCAAGTCAATTCTGAAAAGGCGTGTAACAATAACTTTTTCGACTTATTAGACTAAAAAAAATTCCATAAATTTTAGGGAAGCGCAAAGACGGTGATGGTAAAAGGCTACTGTGGTCGCAGTGATCCAGAAACGCATCTAGTGAAGACTGTAAACTTCTCCTACGCCACTACGCCAAATATGTTCCAAAGGACTGTGGAGAGTTTTGTGGAGAAGCGGGTGGGTTCGACCTACGGTCCACCAACCGGAAAAAACTGACCATCTTCATCGATGACATTAACATGCCCCTGATCAATGAGTGGGGTGATCAAGTGACCAATGAGATTACACGGCAGATGATCGAAATGCGGGGATTTTATAATCTCGAGAAGCCGGGTGACTTCACGAACATTGTTGATATTGAGGTAGTTCTTTTTTTTTCTTTAAGGTACTCGAATTATTTTAATCAACCACACATGCCAGCCAAAAAACCATTTGTAGTGAACAAGTGTCTTTAATAAAGAAAACGCATTGGTTTGAAAAGATCCATCATTGCGATTCTGATCATTCCTATCAGGTAATCGCAGCAATGATTCATCCTGGTGGAGGTAGGAACGACATTCCACAGCGTCTCAAACGCCATTTCTCCGTTTTCAATTGCACCCTTCCAAGCGACACCTCCATGGATCGAATTTTTAGCTGTCTGGCGGAAGGTCACTTCTGTGAAGAACGTAGCTTTCTGGCTGAAGTGCGTAATCTTGCCAGAACCCTAGTTTCCTCCACACGTCTCCTATGGCAACGTGTCAAAGCGAAGATGCTCCCTACTCCTGCAAAATTCCACTACGTCTTTGATCTTCGTGACATCAGTCGAGTATGGCAGGGAATGCTTCGAGCAGAAGCCGAGGTCATTTCAACACCACAGCGCCTTCTAGCTTTGTGGTGGCATGAGGTCAGCCGGGTCATCGCCGATCGATTTATTGATTTCGATGAGAAGAAGTGGTTTGTGAACGCGTTGAAACAGACGGGAGAAGAGGTGGGAGGTGCTACTGTGGCCTCAGAACTATGCTCCAAGGAACCCTTCTTCGTGGATTTCTTGCGCGACCCACCAGAGGCGACTGGTGATGAACCCGATGATTTTGTCTTTGAGGCACCGAAGATCTATGAACCAGTGGATGGTCTTGAAGCACTGGCGAATAGGTTGAGCCACTTTCAGGTAGGGTGATGGTGTATCGGTGTAGCTTCTGACTCGTTTCTGAGGGCATAATAAACCTTACTGGTCTGAATACATGTTTATCGTAGAAATACGAAAGGTTAGCAAGTTATAGGCAAAACAGGACCATCGAAAAATGAAGGTTATTACCAGAACTTGAGAACACTGAGGTGCTCGTCCAATTAAGCGGAGAATTAAAAACCATCATTCTGTTATCTAGTCCCTTTCCTTTTCTTCTGAGTGAGCCATTGGCGCTCTCCACGATCACTTCTTCCCTTTGGCAGTCACAATACATTCTGATGAGTTCTAACTACTTGCCTGATGGAGAACAAGATCCTTCGGTGATTTTTCATTACAAAGAGACGACATTCCATTCCCAAAAGAGCCACTTCTTACAAAATGCAATGGAGGGTTCTATTGGCCTTGTGTTCCCTCAGATTGATCACTGTCCTAGGTTAAGCTTATTATACTTGCCAATCTCTATACAGAGGACAATGTTTTTTTAAAAAACAAATATAAGGCACTTTCTCGATTCATTTAGTGTTCACTGTTAATCCCTCCTTGCAACTTTGCATTTCAATGCTGCTCAAGGTTGGATCCCAAGTCCTGAAAGGGCATTTCAGTATTTGACGCATAGGGTTCAACCCTGAGGACAGTTCTTAGGCTTGGGTTTTTGATCTATTCAATTCTAATTAATACGGAAGACTCAAAACTGGGGTGTTCATCAAAAGTCCACATGCTTTCAGTGATCTCTTAGTTGTGGATCCCCACACATTTAGCCATCCGGAATAGATGCTCCCTTTGCTGATGTTTGTGTGTTATTCAACCAAGGCGATCGACCTAGCTGCTCTTTTGCGTCACCAATGTGCGCTCGGGTCAAAACCACAGAGAAGCTGGGATGCTAGAGACGTGAATAGGACGCCATAGCACCAGTGCGATGAAGTGTAGAGGTCTCGTGGTCAATTATACAAATGAAGTAATTATTGTTCAAATTTACATGATCCCAAGTCCTTTTATCCCCTCCTGGCAGACCATGTACAATGAGACAACTCGTGGGACGAAGTTGGATCTGGTTTTCTTTGCTGACGCAATGATCCATTTGGTAAAGATCTGTCGAATACTACGACTACCGAAGGGACACGCACTCCTAGTTGGTGTTGGGGGCTCGGGAAAGCAATCACTAACAAAGCTGGCCACCTTCATTGTCGGCTATCAGAATTTCCAAATTACACTGACCAGGTGATCCCCTTCAAATGTTTCCTTTTTTGGCTTGGGTAGCCACTTTAAATATTTTTGTGACACAATTCTTCATCCACTTTCCATGAAGGTTAAAAATTATTAAGTGGAGAAAAGCATCAAATAGGTTTGGAAATTTATGGGAACTAACGTTTAGAGTAGTGGTAAGGCACCTAAAGGAGGTCGAAATTGCTATTGAAAACTAAAAATTTTGGATGACGTGGAGCGGATTATCGTCATGCAGTCCATTCACGTCGTCGTGATCCTAGCTTGCACAGGCAGCAAGCTGAAGCTCTTTTTTCACCTTACAGATCCTACAACGTGTCCAATCTGATGGACGATCTAAAGATCCTCTACCGTCTCGCGGGCCACGAGGATAAAGGTGTAACTTTCATCTTTTCCGACAATGATGTAAAGGAGGAGGCCTTTCTGGAACCCCTCAACAACATGCTCGCCTCCGGTGAGGTGGCGGGGCTCTTCGCCCGCGACGAAATCGATGAGATACTTAGTGACCTTGCCCAGCCAATGAAACACGAGTGTCCGCGCGTACCACCGACCAATGAGAACTTGTACGAGTACTACATGCGACGAGTGTCGCGAAATCTGCACGTCTGCCTCTGCTTCTCGCCGATTGGACAAAAATTCCGCACGAGGAGCTTGCGATTCAAGAGTCTCATTTCGGGATGCACCATGGACTGGTTCCAGCCATGGCCGCGGGAAGCTCTGGTGGCGGTGTCTCAGCACTTGTTAAAGGGATTTGACATAGTTTGTAGATCTGAAGAAGCGATTATCAAGTCGGTGCTAGTAAATATTATGGGGATGTTCCACGTAAGCTGTAGGTCTTTGTGAAAAATGAAAGACATCTACATTAATTCTTTGGTGGAATGCCGTCATTAGTTTCCCAAATGTCACACCAATTTCTGGATTTTCGTTATTGGTCTAATGTTGGGGCAATAACTGGTCAGGAAGGAATGGACAAAACCATCTTTTAGTGTATCAGGGAAGGGACGAATTTTACTGACATGCATTTTCACTTAATCGCATAAAGAATTTGTTGGTTTTTGACTAACTCTAATTGGGTCGTTGGCTGCTGGGCGCTAGAGTGATTTCATGACTTACGTTGCTTTCGGATACACGAATTCCACATTTGCAATGATTTTCCTAAGAAAGTCACTCGAAATATGTTTGTATTTTTTTGCCCATTTACTTTTTACACATTGTTTAGAGCTCTACGCAAGTCAGCTTCACTATCTGTAATTGGTTAAAATTTATAAGTAGACAGGAATAGCAACCTTTATACTTTTTTCTCCTACCGAGTAAGTTTTGACGCTTTGAATGATTGCACACTACTTCGCTTGAAGTCTGCTTGTTCCAAATTTAGCGTACTCAGCCCACAAACTTCCTCTATCCAGTCATATCGTAAAGCTGAGTGGGAATCCTTTGTTGATCCACTTGCAAATTGGTGGCTTATTTTTGTTTCTATTAATGACGCGATTACTTTACGATTAGAAGTAATTACCCTAGCCATGCCTCCTCCAGCAGTGGGAATAACTAAATTGCAATTTTTTTGGTGAAAAACAAAAATGCTTCTGGTTAGTGTTCCGATTTTAGTGTCGATTTAATCCCAGGTTAGCGGGCGATTATCAAAAAAAGAAATCAGTGGCCACGTATACGCGGATGGGCAACAGGTGACAAAAAGTGTTGTGCTGCTTTTGGTGTAGCTTGCTGCAATAATTGTAGGGACCTGGGAGATTTCATTGTCTTGATGCCTGTTTTTAGGCTTTCATATCATTAAATGTCGGTGATACCTGCTTGTCTACCTTGTGGACCGAGCTCAGATCGGCTATAAAACTGTAGTTGTAGACGTTTCCCGTAACGTTGGTATACCATTTGGAGAATGTGTGTTTGGTGGTAGATGAATGCATTACTCAGAAATGGCTTACCTCTGGATGCATCACATTTAGGATGACCCACTAGTCTTGACAGGAATGAAACATTGTTAGCATTGCTGCGTTTAAGCGATCTGGGATTAAAGTGTTAAGACCTTTCAGCCAGGACCATCCAATAAATCCGTCTCCGTCACCCAAACATGTCTTTTCCTCTCAATGCTACGGCTTTTCCCAATGATAATGCTTCCTGTTTAGGGTACTAAATCGCAAAACATCTAATATGCCACATATACACGCACGTACAGGTAGCTGGATGCTTGCCAGTGGGCACAGGTTGTATGAAGGCCTCACGGGCTGATGGAGAGGTTGCAAATTACTCTCATCCTTGCTAGTCGAATTTTGGCTTTTCATCCAGTAAGCAGGCAAGTATTCAAATTCTTCACTTTTCTTCTTATTGCCCTAGCCGTACTCTGACCGGAGGTTTGATTTTTTTTTCGGTCGCAAAGCAGTGCTTCCCCATTTTACGCCATTAATGCGTGGAGATGTTTGAATGATATCATCAACTGGAACGGGCATTCTGGGTGCATCACCATTGAACGAGTTAAACGGAACTTTTTAAATGTGTTAAATAAAAATAACATCGAATCTAACCCAATGTCCTTTCTTCTGGCTGATTCGGAACAAAAGGATCGTGTGTCCACAGCCTGCCGGGACTACTTTCAGCGCATGCGTCGCCAGACCTACGTCACTCCCAAATCCTACCTCTCCTTCGTCACCACCTACAAATCCACCTACTCCACCAAGCGTGGTGAAATAGACGCTCTAGCCAGTCGAATGGTCTCTGGGCTGGAAAAGCTCTCTGAAGCGACGGAGGCGGTAAATAAGCTCTCCGAGGGCCTCGTTGTCATGGAGCGTGAATTGGCAGCAGCCAATCAAAAGGCGGAAGCCGTGCTCACCCGGGTAAAGGAGCAAGCCCATGCTGCACAGGCTGTCAAGGAGCAGGTGCAGGTGGTGAAAGATCGGGCAGAGAAGCTGGTGGAGGCAATTAGCAAAGACAAGGGTATTGCAGAGGAGAGACTAGAGGCGGCTAGACCTGCTTTAGAGGAGGCTGAAGAGGCACTGAAAACCATTAAACCGGCTCATATTGCCACCGGTAATTACTCTGGCCGGTTCTTCTTTCTCTAAACAGAAATGATAATCAAAACTTGCTTAATTAACACCAGCCAGAAACTGTTGACGTAAGAGGTTAATTTGTTTTCATACAGTTCGGAAGTTGGGCCGGCCACCACACCTCATCATGCGAATCATGGACTGTGTACTGATTCTCTTCCGTAAGCCCCTGGACGCGGTCACTCCGGATCCAGAGAAGCCATGCCCCAAACCGTCATGGACGGAGGCTCTTAAACTCATGGGAAATACCGCTTTCCTCTCTAATTTACTCAATTTTTCCAAAGTGAGTGGTTACTTTTTCTCGCCTATTGACCATCCCAGCTTCTAAGCTTTTCATTTCCTTCAATACATTCATGTTGGTCAAAATGTGGGCGCAATCTCTTGGAAGCGTTGGAACAAATTTGAGGCCTAATAAATTCATTGTTCCATCCTTTTCAAGTGGATCGTGACACATTGCGAAGCACTCTGGATCAAATCGTTTAATTTCTAGTCCCTTCAAATTAAGCACTATCACCTAAAAGAGCTATCTGAAATAAGATTATTCCTGAATCTATTCTATTCGGGCTTTATAAAAGCATTTTATTCTCCTTAAATAAGATATGAGGAAGAATGTGTGAAGAAAAGTTGTTAAATCTAAAGCTTAAACTTTGATGCATCTTTGATATGTAACTGCAGAATTGACAACCTGTTTGCAAACATTTAAGTACCCTTCCTCCTCTCCCCTCCGATCTTCACGGATTAATCAAATTTCTCAGCCAATTTAAAAGTGCAGAACGCTTCATTATTTTGGCGGAATGCAGAAAATTATTATTAGCATTATTTAGTACCGTCTCAAGCAACCCGGCTTCCTAATTTGCAGACTACAAACCTACTAAAAATAAATTATTTACAGAGACACCACTAAATAAATTGGTACTTTTTTAACTATCTTGTTTCTTTTCCCTTAGGACACCATAACTGACGAGACAATCGATCTCATGGAACCCTATTTCCAGATGGACGACTTCAATCTTGAACAAGCCAAACGTGTTTGTGGTGATGTTGCAGGTCTGTGTTCGTGGACCAAAGCAATGGCCGCATTCTTTGCAGTGAATAAAGAAGTTATTCCCCTAAAGGTGTGCAAATAGTCACCTTGTCCGTTTCTGAGAAATTCACATAAACAGTTCTACTTAATGGGTTTGCTCTCTAGAATAACCTTGTGGTCCAGGAGACTCGACTGGCCCAAGCCAATGCAGAATTAAGTGACGCCCAAGCACAACTGGACGAAAAGCAGGCTGAATTGGATCGAGTTCAAGCTGAATATGACAAGGCGATGGCGGAGAAGCAGCGACTTGCCGACGATGCCGAAGCCTGTCGACGCAAAATGGCCAACGCTACCGCGCTGATTGAAGGACTTTCCGGTTGGCATCTTCAATAATATTAAATCCTTTCAAAATATGTAACTAACGAGCCTTTAATTTTTCTGTCAGGTGAAAAGGTTCGGTGGACAGAAGCGAAAGCCCAATTTCAAACGCAGATTGAAAACCTGGTTGGCGATGTTTTGTTAGCCACAGCCTTCCTCTCCTATGCTGGACCATTTAATCAAGAATTTCGTAACCTCCTTAATCAACAGTGGGATAATGAGTTGTCTCGAACTAGTATTCCCCGATCACCGGTAATGCTTGGACCTATTTCATTTGCTTGGCTCTTTTTGCGCAGTAAATGATACTTGCTTTCTACAGGATTTAAATATCGTCAGTATGCTTGTGGATAATACAATGCTAGGCTTGTGGAATCTCCAGGGTCTACCTGGAGATGATCTCTCTATTCAGAACGGGTTGATTGTGACAATGGCTAGTCGATTTCCGTTACTCATCGATCCGCAAGGTCAAGGCAAAGCCTGGATCATCAACAGAGAGGCTGATTCCAACCTTATGGTATGCATCTGCCGTGGCCACTTTGTTCACTAATTTTCCTCTAATTAATTAAAGGTTAACTGGACCCCCCATTCAATACCTTTTGAATGAACGACATTGAAGAGCTTAGTTTGTCCTTAAGAATGTTAAAAGGTTGCCAGTTTGGTTGCAGCTTTATAATCAAGGAACTGAAGGGTGGGAAAGGTAGTGGCTTCATGGCCGAGTACCAGGTCATCAGCTTGATAGCGAAAACGATTCTCCGATGCTGCCAGAATCCTTTCGGCTTCCAAGATAATCGTTACTTTGAAGTGCATCTTAGTTATTCATTTGCCAATTTTTTGTGAAGGCTACTGGATATTTCGTTCTTGTGTTCCAATCACGTTCATTTAAATGTTTCTCTAAAGGGTAAGATAGGATGGTCTTATAGAGGAAATGTATATTGTTCATTCCTCTCTGTCCGGCCGATTATCTGGGTCGTTCTGTAAGGAAAAATCGAATTTTCATCGAGACATGGCTATTTAGTCGCTTATTTAGCGGTTTCTTATAGGTTCCGGCAAATATGGTAGACAAAAGTGAACTTGGTGTTAACAGTCCTTTCTTTGACCGTCTTCGCAGTCTCAGCCACCCGCGGGCTATGGCCTTTTTCCGCATTTTTTTGGTATATCACATCTCCAAAGAAATATATTTTGGCCTTTTGGGGTGAGTTTGCGTATCAGTAAGACGAGTGTAATGCTCCAGATCCTCCTTAAAGACCTTAAGATAAGTTTGCAACTGACGTACAGAGGAGCCAGGAGACAAGTGGTACGAGTACTATCCAAATCTAAGGTAAAAAAATTATTTAAACGGTTAATGAAAACCGGATAGGGCTCTGCAGCGATATGACTAACTCAGTCATAACTGTCTAATCTGGGGCATAAAATATCGGTTACAAGAAGCTAAAATGGCAAAGAATGGCAATCAGTGAAGCACTTTGATTGGTTGGTTACTTCCAGGTGAGTTCACTGAACCACAAGTACTTTCGGAGCCACCTGGAGGATGCTCTGTCACAAGGTCGCCCAATGCTGATAGCAGACGTGGGTGAGGAGCTCGATCCAGCCCTTGATCACGTTTTGGAGCGCGATTTCGTACGCGTGGGCACTGGCTACAAGGTTCGAGTTGGTGACAAGGAAGTGGACGTGGATGTAGAGGGCTTCCGGTTATACATCACTACCAAACTCCCCAATCCGCTCTACAGTCCTGAAGTCTTTGCTCGAACCTCTACGGTTGATTTTACCGTCACTCAGAGGGGTCTGGAGGATCAACTGTTGAGGGTAGTCATTCTGACAGAAAAGAAGGTGATTTCGGATGGATTTATGCACTTTGGCATTCTGATTGATTAAGTCGCATTTGCCTTAATAGGATTGGGGAATGATCGAATCGATCTTTATACAACCAAACAAAACAACAAAAATTGGCTTTCTGAATGTGCTTAAATCACAGTGAATTTAGCTTTTTATGTCCTCATATTACGATTGTTCGTCTTACTGTTCAATTGCAATTGCTCGCTTTTGGCTTGCGTTTTATTCGTTGAGAAAATAATTCAAGCTTGCCTATGTGGTATTCTTCCGCAAATTATGCTACCAAGTGATGACGTCTTCTTCCTTTTAGGAACTTGAAGCCGAGCGAACAAGCCTGCTAGAAGAGGTTACCTCTAACAAACAAAAGGTTAAGGACCTTGAGGACAGCCTCCTTCTTCGTCTCACTTCTACGGAAGGTAGTCTAGTGGAGGACGAGTCCTTGATCAAGGTTCTTCGAGTCACCAAGGCTACGGCAGAAGAGGTTCGAAACAAGCTCCTAACCGCCGCTGAGACCGAGTTGAAAATCAATACGGCGCGGGAGCAGTATAGACCAGTGGCGACGCGTGGATCCATTCTCTACTTCCTCATTGTAGAGATGTCCATGGTGAATGTGATGTACCAGACTTCGCTGCGTCAGTTCCTCGAGAGGTTCGATCTCTCCATGTCAAAGTCGCCGGGATCACCGGTTACACATAAACGGATCAGGAGTATCATCGATCACCTCATGTTAGATGTTTTTCGTTATATTGCCCGAGGGCTGTATGAAAAGGACAAGTTCACCTTCACTCTACTGTTGGCATTGAAGGTGGCTTTACAGGAGAAGAAAATTTCCATAGAAGAGTTTCAGATATTCATAAAAGGTAGGTGAACCTGGATTCAGGGAATCCTCCTTACTTTTACTGCTGGGTAATTTGAACGATTTGTCTTGCTTCATCAGGAGGCGCTGCTTTGGACTTAAATGCAGTTGAGCAGAAACCGCGACAGTGGATTCAAGACATGACTTGGCTTAACCTCGTTGAACTCAGTCGACTCTCAGCTTTCGCTAATATTCTTAAGGACATTCCACGCAAAGAAAAGGTAAGAATGACACATTTCTCAAGAATAAATCAAAGATATATCCATTCACATAGGAATCTTATGTTCTAAATTTGCAGTAATTATTGTATTTTATTAATAAATACGTTACTTTTGATTTTCTTCCCAAAAATGCTAATAGAAATAGTAAATTATGTATCTACCAATCGAAAATATAGTAGTGGCAGTTTTTGAACCGATCAAAGTCAAATAGGCCCCAAATAAGTTTTTGCAAAAGGGTTCTAGAGTAAACTTTTGAAATAATATTTTTGAAATAGTTACATCTTAATCAAGCTCCCAAATGGAAAATTAGCGACTGAATTTATGCTTTGGTATGGCCCTGATAATACTCGCCCAAGACAGAATGAAACCAAACTCCATTTTTCGATCCCATAGGCCTAATCAACCATTAATTTATACAGTGGTGTGAGTGGGCAAAGATGGGTGGCTATGGGTCTAAGTCATACTAACCCTTACACCACCACCAAATATGGTCAGCCACTGATTAGGGACTGGTCGCATCGTGACAGATTGTGAACGCGGCTGTACTTTGTCGTTCGGCCCTATCTGATCCCTCGTCAGTCTCGAGCGCCCCCATTGGCCGCCTTGGTTGAGGAGGCAGCCAACACACATGTGTGCTGGTGCTGCAGCTATCCCCACCCACTAAATATAAAATCATCAACCACACTGCTCTCTTCCCTTCCAATCAGTCAGAAACCTGCAAGTATCAAGCATCCTTTCAATCAAGTTAATTGGTTGCGAAAAACTTACTGCCCTTTAGACAAGTAGATGTCAATCAACCAATCTGATAACTTCGCTTTTGTTGAGACAGCAATTGATTCAAGGGAATGAACTTGTAATAGATCATGTTTATGCGGTTTTGTAGCTACCCCTGTCTTTCCACTACAGAGACTGAAGTGCCTGGGTAGTTAAACGCTAGTAAACAAAAGGTTAAATCACCACATAACCCCCTTTGTCTTTTGAGTGTCATCTCCGGCGCTCCCCTTGATCAATCATTTGCATCAGCCATCACGGGCGCACCAGGAATGGCTGGCACTAAAATTATTTGGATATGAAGAGGCATTTCTTCTCAACTACATTGATGAACCTCGACGGTTCTATTGCATCTGGAGTTTCGTCCTCTTCGTGAAATGTTTGGTGAAACAACTGAATGCGCAACAGGTCCACAGGGGGGATCACGTGTGCCAATCGCTTTTCGTTAGAACAGTGGTCTAAAAGTAGAATTAGGGGATAAAATTTTTGTCTTCTCCCTTACCTTCGTTTCTAATTCCAATGCTACCCACTTCATTGTGTAATTCGTACATCTTCATGTAATTTCTGCACTCAACTCTGTAATGGACATTTTCAAATTATTCTGGTTTGGCGTTACATCGGTTGTTAATTGCCCGCTTCCAGGACACGAGGCTAGTATGTAGACGTGGCTTTGATAGGCCTTCTGCCATGCGTCTGAAGATCCATTCACCTGCAATTGTCTTCATCTTGTAACCTTCGGATTTAGATTATTCAAAGAAATCACGGCAGCTGTCTCATTGGATCGAGTTTGTTTGTCACAGCCGCAACTGTGGCTCCCCAATTCTTACCCAAAGTACTAGTAAGGCATATCAGAATGAAGGAGTATTTACCACTAACTGTATGAATCGAGTCTATTGTCCGAACAGTGCGGTCATGACATCATTGGAGTTCTTCTCGTGCTCAGCTTAGAATTTCTCCACTTCCACCACTCGATCTAATTTAGACTATAATTCTTAATTTAGACACCATAGGAATGAAAGTTGATTTCTGCTTCGCCGATTGTATCAGCTATTTATGACCCTGCTTTGAAATTGACTAGCGCCTTGGTTTGTCTCAAGGGCTAATTAATCATTTTTGAGTCATTTTGGTATTTTAGATATAAATAACGGCCCCCTGGATGGGACTCTCGGAGCTCAAACCGATTATGTTAGGCTTCTAACAGAATCCGGGGCAACAACCCTCTTTTGTTTACCTTCCTCCAAATTCAAAAATTATCTACTGAAAATCATTCGCCACCTGATCGAGTTCATAAACCAGACAAAGTGGCCTGGATCCCAAGGGTTACCACTTTTTACTTGGTTTACTTTCCTCCAGTCTTGGAAGCACTGGTTCGATAGTGACTCTCCCGAAGACAACGTCCTTCCGGCTCCCTACGAGGTAGCCTTGGAGGGTCAGACCTTTCAACGTCTGCTTCTGGTGCGCTGTTGGTGTCTGGATCGCTGCCTTCCTATGTCACGACGTTTCATCAAGGAGATGCTCGGCGAAGCCTTCGTGGACCCCGTCATCACGGACTTGGAGACGATGGTACTGCAGGACTCAGACCCGCACACTCCACTTATCTGCTTCCTCTCCATGGGATCGGATCCCACAGAGAATATTGAACGACTGGCTAAACGCCGTGGGCTAGGTAGGCTTTCTCTTTGTCCACAGATGTCCGAACGGTCCTCGATGGGTTGCATTTATTACTTCGGGAAGTCATTCTTTGATCACATAAATTTAGAGGTCCGGGTCATGATGTTGGCCCTGGTAGGTTTAAAATCCCGCGTCTGTGAAGTTTTGAAGTTCATATGTGTCGATATTGTTCATCAATTGTCGATTGCTTAAGTTTACTACATCCAGAGATACAGAGATGACCTGACTGTTTTAATAAGAACCTCGCACTTATTGTCCCATTGAACTTGTGTATAGTGATTAAAGTTGTGTAACTTCAAATTCGAGGCGTCTGATATTCCGATCGCCCTGGCCATTGGCAATTTGTCATGCGGCGATAAGTAAATGTTTTGAGTTGTCCAAAGACAAGGGTACTCATTTATGCCACTTTAAAAACGGCTTGCTGGATGTATTTTTCTTCGATATTTTATTAATAGACTGGAATTTTGGGATTTCCGGTCTCCCTTTTTGTCGAATTATTACTCATCTGGCTCCATGCCTGTAACGGTATTGGTTCTGTCTCTTACGCCTCTGCTCTACCGATTGGCTTAACCTATGAATTCGCCCCTCCTGAATTAAAGGCCGTCTTTGCCTGGGTAGGAGCATTGCTCTCTAAAATTCATAAATATTTTACATTTTCACTCTGTCACACTTCTTAAGCATCAACGTGCTGTCGATTTTTTACTCTTTAATCGTTATATACCCCTGTTGATTTGGAAAATATTTGGCCAACTTGTGGAGTCTTAATTGACTTCCACCTATTCCATTTCTGCTCCCTTTGTAGTCTCGCCATTTTCTGTCTTCGATTAGACGCAAAGCAGCTAGTTTAGGAAGTTAACTAACTCGAGTGATTTGCGAGTTTTCTACCCGAACATCTCCAGCATAAAATATTTTGTTTCCG